CCTTACTTTAAGAAAATGATATCTTCTCTCTTCTCCCAGCTGTGAGAAAATAGTAAGGCGTACTAGGCTATCTTGCCTTGTAGGGCAATAAGTCTAGGAGAAACTGTGAATTCAAATCCACTGCTAACTTGTTTACTCACCATGCCTTATAACAGGAATTGGTTAAAAACCTAAATCATGCTGTGGACTGAAAGACAATACAAGTAAACAAATAAATAATTAAATGTGTGTGTATGTGTGTGTGTACATTTTTGTGTGTGTGTGTATTTGCATACATATATGTGGTTATAGCATAATGGTTATTGATGCAGAAAGTTAAATTAACAAGCAGAGATCAAATTCCAGTAGATTTTGTTTTAGTCACTTTGCACAAATACCCTTTGAAAAGACTATGGGTTAAATACCAGGTCAGACCGAGTTCTTTTACCTTGAGTGTCAGTCAGTCTTGGAGAAGGAAAACTGAATTCAAATCTAAGGAGGGTTGTTTAGAAACTTTGTAGTACACCGTCCATGATTACTCTTTTACACTTCTTCTGAAAAGTGTAATTGGCTCTCTGCAATCATTCACTTCTATAATAAAATAATCTGTGTGGGTAGTTTGGTTGTTCAGTTCTAAAACTGAACTTTTGAGGACTCATACATGAAAATCTACATTATAATCCGGCATACATATATATATATATATATATATATATATATATATATATATAAATGTGTACATGGCTGTATGAGTGGTGTAATGGGTAGTAGTTTGGTATGAGAAATTGGAGAGCAAAGTTCAAAATCTAGTTCACTTATTCATGAATACTCTTGGTAAATGCAATAATTCATCTATTCACTTCCCCCTATATATAGGTTAAATAGTAAGAGTTTAACCTTAGTTGGTAACAAGTCTAGGAGAAGAATCATTTTGAATTCAAATGCTGAGGAGGCCCATTTCTCATGCTATGTGCTCCAGTTTGGATTTAATTCTTCCAAAACTGTACAAGCCTGTGTGTGTATATATATATATATGCATGTAGACTTCTATTTTGGCTCTTTTGAATATTACTAAGGGCTATATATATATATTTGGTTCTCAGCAGTTGAGATGTATGTGCATGAAAACAAGAATGCATCTTTGTAGTGAGTAAGTTGTTTTGTCCATATATAAAAATTATAATAAATAATTATTGCTCTACTCTTGGTATTGATTTAATGCTATGAACATTAGAATTTATATTATTTTTGCTCTCATTGTATTCGGATATATATATACATACATATATATATATATATATATATATATATATATATACACACACACATTTATATAAGTAAAGTTATAAAACTGTGCCTTATTATATGTACATACATGTATATGTTTATATTTGAGTGTATATGTATATTCTGGGCAAATTTAATTGATGTGAGACGAAAAGTTGTGAGATAAAAAAACTGTTGAAAGTTGGAGTAAGCAAGGTGGGTGAAGAAGAATAAATGTTAAACACATGTTGAATGGGTGGTTCCCTGAGAATCTTAGTGATTCAATGGATGACTTAGTGTGAAAACAAAGTTAAAAAAAAAGACATCTTTTCCATTAAGTCTGCTAAAAGTATATATATATATATATATATATATATATATATATATATATATATATATATATATATATATATATATATATATAATATGAATATGTTTATTTAGTTTTGCCATGTGGCATCTTAATTCATCCATCAGAAATTCTAAGATGAAATGAAACTATTTATTCCTGAAATTCACTTGTAGTAATGATGAAAATTCATAGACAGGAATTTCCTACCTTTCATAGACTTCTGTCTTTTTTTTCTATTATATGTTCCATTATATTATATATTCTATTATATAGAAAGTTAATTATATTATATGTTCTGTTATATGTTCTATTATATAGAAATTTATATATATTATGTGTTTTGTTATATGTTCTATTATATAGAAACTTAATTATATTATGTGTTCTATGTTCTATTATATAGAAAAAATTATATATATATGTTTTGTTGTATGTTCTATATATAGAAAGTTAATTATGTGTTCTGTTATATGTTCTATTATATAGAACGTTATATACATTATGCATTTTGTTATATGTTCTATTATATAGAAATTTATATTATATGTTCATTTATATCATGTTCTATTATATCAAAAGTTAATTATATTGTGTTATGTTCAATTATATAGAAAATTGATTATGTGTTCTATGATCTATTATATAGAAAGTTTATTATATGTTCCATTATATTACATGTTTTATTGTGTAAAAGTTATTTATATTATGTGTTCTGTTATATGTTCTATTGTCTAGAAAGTTAAGTATATTATTGGTTCTGTTATATTTTATGTTTTCTAGTATATAGAAAGTTAAGTATATTATGTGTTCTGTTATGTGTTTTAGCATATAGAAAGTATATTATACGTTCCATTATATAGTCTATACAGAAAATTAAGTATAGTGATTTACTAAGCATAGCTTAGATATGGCACAAGCTGAAAGTATGGAGCATCATGGAGAATCGAACTTCCTACTCGGTCATAACTGATGTAGAAAGATAATCTCACTAACAATTACACCATGTCAAAATGCTCAAGAAAGCTATGTATATTTTATACTCTGCGATATTTTGATTTTTTATAATAATGTTTTCCCTGTACAAGGCCCAAGAGTTATTCAAACTAAAGGGTTACAGAGTAAGAGGTATGATTTATGGGGATATCTGGGAAAGATAACAATTTAACTTGATTGGATGGGATAAAATTGTAGTGATTAGGGAAGCATCCTCTTGGGAGATGGTTTCTACAAAGTAGAACCATCTCCCAAGAGAAAGTATATAGGAAAGTGTTTAAGTGGAACTTAAATTTCACTAGTAGAATACAAAGGGAATAAGAGTAATTCACAGTATGCAGTACATGGCCAGTCTTTGTCTGAAGAAGCTGACCCCAACAGATATTGGTGAAATGCGTTGTTTATAAAGATTTCCATTTTTTCTAATCATCTCCATATTCTATTATATAAAAAGTTAAGTTTTCTATATTTAATAATATTCTTATTCTTTATGTGTCATGTCTTCTCAGGATGTAGACGATCATGGCTCTCCATAACTGCCTGTCCCTTGTAGCATTTAATAAATTTTGTCTTTCTGTTATTTCTTTTAAGCCCTGTTCTGCCATTAATTTACTCATAATTAAGTATGTTTTGCACTGTTTTCCTCTGTCTTTCTTGCCTTCAATCTGTGGGTATCAGATTTTCCAAGCCCTCTTTTCTCATTATGTGATATAGAAAACTAAACTGTTTCTTCCTGATGTTAGCTATAAGTTTCCCTTTAGTTTCTATTTTCTCTAAAACTTTGTTGCTTGCATGTTTGATCCATGGTATACTCAGCATCCTTCTGGAGAACCACATTTCTACTGCTTCAAGATGTACTCATGAAAATTTCATGGTTTTCCCATTTGAATTTTCTGACGAATCAAAATTCTCAATTTAATGATTGAATAAACTGCTGCAAGTTCTACAACTATAAAAATGCCTGAGGAATTTCCCCTGTTGCTTTGTTAAATATTTCAGCTTAACGCCTTTAACACAAGTACTAAATAATAGAGGAAGAAGCAGAATTTTAATATGATATTACAATGGACATTAGTAATGAAGGAACAAGAAGAATTATAAAATTATATTACAATTTTAAGTTTAGAAAAGTAATATCATATCATAATTCTGTGTGGGTCTTAGAGATTCTGAGGACATATATTCTAGCATAGCATGACCAACAGTTCAACAAGAACAGTAAGCTCAAAACCTAGAAATAAATCTGCTATGAAGAGGTTCTGAAAAATTCCTGTTTGACCAAAATGCACGACTAGAAATGATTCTGATGTTTGGTTATTTTGTTTATGGAAATGGATTGGGCCAAGAATTTTTCAGAACACACTTGATTATGGAAAATTGGAACCGGAAGACTTCATAGTGCCAATCTTGCAAAGAGGAAATGGCCTATCTGCCTTGAAAATCAAAATTTCAATTCCCAACAGTTCAACAAGACCAGTAAGTTCAAAACCTTGGTGACAATGACTTGTGACATTGTAGTAGCACTAACATCAACAGTTAATTTAGAATGATTTTTGTTTCACTGAAATAAGTATAAATAATGTATAACAACACAAGTATAATAATATGCAAACAACTTTGTTAATTCTTTAATTAAAGAACATGTTGCCTAAAAATCTCTAACTGATACTGTGAAGTGCTATAAACTCATTCATTGGTGAGCAAAAATGGATTATTACAGAATTACTTGTAGACAATGCAGCACCACTGGGAAGTACCTGAAAACTATACCCTCGGTTGATCCAATTCTTTGGTAGCTGTTGATGTTTGTGCCACAACAATGTGTCAAGTCATTGTCACCAAGTTTATTGTTGAACTGTTGGTCATGCCATTTTGTACATTCTCTCCCAGAAACTCTATGGTTTACTTAGCATAGTTGCAGTATATATCATAGTTTGAATTTGTAGTTTTTGAAGAAACATAAATGTGCCTGAGCAGGCATCAGCAACAGGAATTTGTTAGCTGCTATAACAGAAGTGTATACATGGAAATGAGTAGCTCACCATTATTATATAAATGTGCACTCCTGCATATATTACTAAGTATACATGTTTATGATGCTTTACCTTATGTAACTATAAGTAAATACAAGCACCTGTATGTATGTATATGTGTGTCAGTTTTTGATTGATCTATTTTTTACATCCTGTCGACATTTTGCATGTTGTTTATAGTCAGAAAATATTTTTTGAGATAATAATGATTTAAAAGTCCTAGTAATTAACCCATAGCTGGGGGAAAAAGAGATGGACTCATACCTTTCCCAAGGGTATTTGTGTGTAAGTGAATATAACAAACCTGACTGGAATTTGAACTCAGCTCTCCAATCTCCAATTCCTAGCTATTATCCATTACACCACCTGCACATCCAAGCACCTGGTATTCCCAAGTGGTCATCCATGTACTGACTAGGCTCGATGTTGCTTAACTTCAGTGATCATATGGGAACTAGTGTTTCAATATCATATGGCCATAATCCGTGTGTATATGTGTGTGTATGTGTGAGAAAGAGAGAGAGAGAGAGCGAGAGAGAGAGACTGAGAGATATTTAAAGTATATTTGGAGGTTAAAGAATCCTGATGGATCAGTGTTTTTGCAAAGGAATAGTTTCTTAATGAAGTCTACTATGAGGGGGTGCTGAAAAGTTCTTAGCTTAACCAAGATACATTACTAGAAATAAATCTGCTATGAAGAGGTTCTGAAAAGTTCCTGTCTGATCAAGATGCACTCCTAGAAATGATTCTGATGTTTGGTCATTTTGTTAAATTTAAAGAAATGGATTGGGCCAAGAATTTCTCAGAACACACTTGTAGTTTGTGGAAATTTGGAACAGGAAGACTGCATAGTGCCAGTTTAGCAAAGAGGAGATGGCCTATCTGCCTTGAAAATCAAAATTTCAAATCCCAGTTCTTACCTGGGCTTGAATACTGACCAGTAGTAAACATATTTAATGTACCAAGTGAATCAAACTTTCCAGTTAGTGAATGCCAAAATAAGTAGGACAGTCAAGTGTTGAATCAAGATCAGAGTATATAATGTAATGAGGGAATTATATAAATAATTTTGGGACTTTATATAACACAGAAATCCAAAGGTATATTGGAATAGTGAAAAATGCCTTCCAAAAGCTAAGCAGAGTATTAAGAGATAGTAAAATTTAATTAGAAACAACAGCTTTGGAACTGTGATGTAATATTAATTCTGTTACATTGCAGTGAAACTGGACAATATCCTTAGACATGAAGAAGCAACAGAAATGTTCTACAGAAGGATGCAGATAGATCATGAGAACAATGAGGAAGTCAACAAAAAAGACACTTAGAATCAGAAAAACAGAGTTGAAATTTTTAGAACACATAATAAGGAAGGAGAGCTTGGAAAATTCGAAACTCACAGGACATAGTGAAGGCAAGTAGGGCAGAGGGAAACACTGAGTAACCTACCTGACCAGATTGTGCAAATGAATGGCAGAACAGAGACTGGGAGGGACAGTAAGGGGAAAAATATTGCTTAGAGCTATAAATGATAGGAAGTTGTGGAGAGCCATGATCAACCTACTTAATAAGCTTGTGTAAATGGATGGCAGGACAAGGATAGGGAGAGATAATAAGAGGATAAACATTTAGAGCTACGAAGGATAGGAAGTTGTGGAGAGCCATGATCAACTTACTCAACGAATTTGTGTAAATGAATGGCAGAACAGGCACAGTGAAGGATAGTAAGCTGATAAACATTGTGTAGAACTCCAAAGGATAGGAAGGTGGGGATCAAGAAACACTTTGAGATATAAATCTAATCTTTGGCCATTTCTTTGGTTCTTTTTGTGTGCCATGTCCTTTCATGATTTAAGTGATTATGGCTCTCCATCTCCCTCTATCCCTTGCAACTCTCAAGTTCCTTCCCTCTGCTTCCTCCCCCAGACCACGTTCTGTCATCCACTTGCTTAAGCCTGCCAGGTATGTCACATGTTGTTTTCCTGTGTCTCTCTTTCCCTCTATTTGATCTGTGAGTATCAGATTCTCCAGGTCTTTCTTCCACATTATGTGTCTCAGAAACTTCAGCTGCCTCTTCCTGATATTAAGTATAAACCTCCTCCTTGTTTGCTACCTCATCATTTGCTCACATGCTCAGTTCTTGATATCCTTAGCATCCTTCTGTAGAATCACATTTCTGTTGCCTTGAGTCTCTTCTTCATTTTTGAGGAAATCATCCAACATTCGTTGTCATAAAGAAGAAGAGATGTCAGGTAACAGTTCAGTATTCTTTTCTTTGTTACCAAAAAAATCCTCCTGTCTTGCAATACTCTGCCCAGCTTTTGGAATGTATCCTTGACCATTCCAATATGTCTACAGATCTCAGTGTTGCACTTAGTGTCCTCTGTCAAGATGCTTCCCAGATATTTAAACTTCCACGTCTACTTGTTTCTATTGTTGCCAACTTGCAAATTGCATTTCAGGCTCATCCTTTTACTGATGACCATGCATTCTGTCGTCTTGTAGTTTATGCTTAATCCTTTCTTCTCATTCTCCTTTGCTACCTTCTGTAGGAGATTTTGTAATTTCTTTCCCATGTCTGCTATGAGCACTGTGTCATTTGTGTATTATATGTTGCTAAGATTGTGGCCGCCAATGCTAAATCTTGGTAGGGTTTCCAATTCTCTCAGAAATGCCTCGCTGTATAGGTTGAACAGGTCAAGTCTAAAACTCATCCTTGCCTTACGCCCCTTTCTATTTTTGTATATTCGCTGAACTTGTTCCCTATGTGCTGCATGCTGTTTGCTGCCAGTATAGGTTTTTGATTATTTTGATATCTTTCTCGAATATATCAAGGTTGCTGATCACTTCCATCAGATCCTTGTGGTGTACTTTGTTGAAGGTCTTTGTGTAGTCTACAAAGCATCGGTACACATCCTTCTGCATCTGTATCTCTCTTTCTGATAACATTCTGAGCATTTAGTTTAGTAAATTGATCAAACCAAGTATTTCTCAGCAGTTTGAGATGTTTTCCTCAAAGGCTGCATTTTACCAATGTTACAAAATGAACAATTCTTGGCTTTTATTTGGGCATGAAAACTGAACCTTAATTTCAGTAGGAAATGTATAACTATTTAATTCAGCAAGCAGGCCAAACTTTCCAGTGATGTTTCAGGGTTACACTGAATGTCAAAAGAAATGAGACAATAAAGGCTAGAGTATACTTGAATTAACATTGATTGTCTACATTCTAAATCAGGGTTTTCTAACCTGGGCAATATTGACTACCTGTGGATGATTTCAACTCTTGGGTGGGTGATGAGTAACTGAACAAAAAATGGTGTGTGATGAGAAATTTTGGTGGGTAATATGGAATTTAGATTATTAAAAAGTTATTTCAATATATGCTACCTGAAAAAAATATTCAAAGGAGATATGCAAGAAACCTGTATAAAAACCCCAATAAAACAGGAGGCTAAGTGGGAATAACTGGGTTACATTTCTAGAGAAGATATAAATATTTCTGCATAAATCAGAATTATTTGTTACCATCCTTTAGTGTTTTTAATACATAATAAATTCAGTTTACAAACCAGTAACAAACTTTTAACAAAAAAATTTATTATATATGTGGGTGGCGGAAATTTTTTCCATGTGAAAGTGTGTGATGAGGAAACAATGTTTGGGAACCTTGTTCGAAAGGGACACAGCATATAAAAGGAGATATAATTATAATAATTAGATGGGGATTCTACATTTTAACTTGGACTTATGATTAGAACAGAGTGTAATGTTGTGAATGTAAAACAAAGAAGACTAAGTTAATGTTAAGGATTAGAAGAAGAAAAAAATGATATCCAAACTAAAAAAAGCCATACAAGTTGATGGAGAGGATGTGGTGGTGGTGGTAACTTTTTATTGGCCCATGCATTGATGAATCAGTAACTTGTGAGAAGGTGAGATTTCTTGGTACAAAAGAAATTTCTCCTGCTAAAATTTTTAAGTGGGAATTTTTGGTTCGTAATGACCACACAGATCTGAAACTGCTTTCACACTCAATTCACCCTCTCCATCACTAACAAGTTGTCCACAGAATTTCCATACCAGGGACAATAAAAGTAGCCAATAAAGACCATATGTATTGTGGTATTTAATACTACAAAAACTTTTTGCCTGGTGAAAAGATGACTGATTTGATTTTTAGTAAGAGACAGAAATGGTGAGACATTGGAATATTGGTCTGAGGACGGTTTTGAAGACTAATGTAGTGATACTTGGATCAATAGAGAATGACTGTGATCCCCAAAACATTTTCAAGCCACATAATTAATGTTGTGACTATGTCACAAGTGTATAACAGTCAGAATTACAAGTGTTTGGCATCACTTAACTACTGTCAGTTGTCTTTGATGCAGATCATGTTTGTGTCAGACACAAAAAGTTAATGCCACAATTGTCAGTATTTACAAATTGTCTGTAAGTTACCATTAATTATAGTATTTTGCTTTTATGCTTTTTATTGGTTTTCTTGGTATGACTAATATTTCAGATATAAGAAAATAAATATACATTGGTATATTCGCCTTATTATTCTTTTCCCTTTTGGGCCTTGGTACCGAAATATGACTATTTGCTTCAGCTACTTAATTCAATCAACCCATTCAGATTAATGTCCTTATCTATTTATGTGTTGACATATTGTTTAGGTAATTTATTTTCACTTCAGGAAGATTAATTGTAGAGAGGAAAGACTTTTTACATGGTATTAACTCAGTAGGTGTTTTCTTTTTAGAAATTCATATACAACATACACATATACACATACAACATACAGACATACACAGATATGTTAGGGTGTTTGGAAAGAAACCATGTTTTATCACATATAAAAACAATTGTGAAATTAAATTTATTTAAATATTAATCATCAAAATATATAATCACCTTCAGTTTCAATGACTGCAGTTTAATGAGAAGGTGAGTTTTTTTATTCCCCATTGAAAAAAAACTTGGGTTTTCCCTGAAATTTTTGAAAGACTAATTTCAACTTTTTCTTTGGTTCTCAATGTTCTGACTTTTATGAAATGTTCTAATGAATGAAACAAATAAAATGAGGTTGAACCTGATATGTATGGGGGATGTGGAAGAACCGCTCATCGTAATGATCTTATTGTTTCTTGGATTTGTCATGCAGAGACTGCCCTTGCATTGTTCTACTGGAGAATAACATCTTCTCTGCTTACCAAATTATGACATGTTCAGCATAATGGTTCATTTACCCAATCAAGTGATCTGCAGAGATAGGTCTTTAATATTCCAGTAGCTTGTAAGGGATACACCTTTCAGATTCAACCATAGACAAAGCAAGAACTTTATGTGGATGGAGTCCAAGTTTGGTGTGACACTGTTTTTTCATTTTGTGATAACACAGTCTTTTCAGCTTTCTGTTGACATGCAAAACCCATTTTTCATCAACTTTAACAATACAATGCAAAGTTGT